TATGCAGAGCAATCTACAGATTCAATGCAACCCCTATCAAAATACTAATGGCATTTTACACAGAACTAAACAAATAACCCTAAATGTGTAAGGACCCACAAAAGACCCTGGAGAGCCAAATAAATCTTGAAAAAGAACAAGGAAGTTGGAGGTATCATGCTACTTGGTATCAAATTATGTATATTACAAGGCTATCCTAATCAAAACAGCATGATACTGGAATATAAACAGACACAAAGGTCAATGAAACAGAATTGAGGGTCCAGAAATAAAAGCACACCTACATGATCAGTAATCTATGACAAGGAGGCAAGAATATGCTATAGGATAAAAACAAATGGTGTTGGGAAAACTGGACAGATACATGCAAAGAGAGATTAGATCCCTTTCTTAGACCATATACAAAAATTAACTCAAAACGGATTAAAGTCTAAATGTAAGACCTCAAACCATAAAAGTCCTAGAAGAAAACATAATAGGCAGTAAACTCTTTGACATTACTCTTAGCAATGTCTTTTTGGATATGTCTTCTTGGGTAAGGGCAACAACAGAAAAAAATAATGGGGCTACATCAAACTTAAAAGTTTTTGCACAACAAAGGAAACCATCAACAAAACAAAAACACAACCCACTTAGTGGTAGATCTTCCCAAATGACACTTTCGATAAGGAGTTAATATCCAAAATATATAAGAAACTCATACAACACAAAAAAACACACACACAAAAAAAATCAAACTGATTTAAAAATGGGCAGAGAACCTGAATAGATATTTCTTCACAGAGGACATACAGATGGCCAACTGTCATATGAAAAGATGCTCAAGGTCACAAATCATCAGGGAAATGCAAATGAAAATGAGATATCACTTCACACCTGTCAGAACAGCTATCATCAATAAATAACAAATAATAAGTGTTGGCAAGGATGAGAAGAAAAGGGAGCCCTCATTCACTGCTGGTGGGATTTTAAATTAGTGCAGCCACTATGGAAAACAGTATGGAGGGTCCTCAAAAAATTTAAAAAAGAACTTCCATACAATCCAGCAAATCCATCTCTAGGTATTTATTGGAAGAAAACAAAGAATTCTAATTTGAAAAGATATATTCACCCCTATGTTCACTGCAGCATTTGTAGTAATAGCCAAGATATGGAAGCAAACTAAGTGTCCATCAATTGATGAATAAAGAAAATGTGGTACATATATACAATGGAATATTATTCAGCAATAAAAAAGAATAAAGTTTGCCATTTGGGACAACATGGATGGATTATGTTATGTGAAATAAGTCAGACAGAGAAATACAAAAACTGTATAATTTCCCTTATATGTGGAATCTTAAAAAAAAAAAAGCACAAACAAATAAAATAAACAAAACAGAAATAGACCCACAGATATAGAGAACAAGCTGATGGTTGCCAATGAGGAGGGGGTGGAGGATGGGAATAAAGAATAACGTTCTTAAAAAGTGCCTGGATCTCTCACATCCTTTAACAAAGAGTAACACATACCACCCTATTTTTAGGCGGGAAGGGGACACCTCATTCCCTGTAGCAGGGTCCTCGGAACACTCTCTCCAACGCCTCAGGACACATACCTGGCCACCGTCACAGTGACCCCTCCTATCAGACTGGGCCGCCTAAGCCTGGCCAGAGGAGGTTCCTGCAACACCCGGCCTCAGTGACTCCTCATGGCATAAGGCTTTCTGTAAAAAAAAGCTGGGATCTGGAGTATCCCTCCTGTCAAGATGAAAGACCAGCCAAAGGAGGAGCTGGTCTAGGGCTTTAGGACGTATCATGGCAACACCAGGACAGACCACAGGTGCCCCAGGCCCATTGGTGCTCTAGTCAAGGCAACCTCCTTCCAAATTGCTGTCCTTTTCCGTGAAGCTAAATCTGTTCATCCACCCCATGGACATCAGGCCCTGGGGCCCTTTGTAGAAGCAGCAAATGATCTGGCATCCATCTATGGCAGGGGTGGGCAAACTCTTTGACTCGAGGGCCACAATGGGTTCTTAAACTGGACTGGAGGGCTGGAACAAAAGCATGGATGGAGTGTTTGTGTGAACTAATATAAATTCAAAGTAAACATCATTACATAAAAGGGTACGGTCTTTTTTTTTTTTTTTAGTTTTATTTATTTCAAACGGGCCGGATCCGGCCCGGGGGCTGTAGTTTGCCCACGGCTGGTCTATGGAGCCGCTTCCCTCTGGCTCCAGGAGGCCAGCCCAGCCCACAGCTGCCTCTTCCTCTCCACCCCAACCAGGTCTGTCCAAAACCACCATGCCAGTCCTACTGTACCCCTTCCAAGGTAGGTACATTCTTGAGTGAAAACCTCAACTCCTACCGTATCACAGAGGACCACAGGATGTTCACACACATGACACGGTCCACGGACAGAGACCCCTGTCATGCACACACTGTCCACAGAGATGCACCCATCACACACAGAAATGAACAATCACACAGAGACACAAAGAGATAGGGAAACACTAGGCATATAACCAGATGCATGGTCCCACAATGACGTCGGCTATCAGCAGGA